TTGTGGATTCTGCCTAGGGCAAGTGGAAGCGATGTTGGTTCATCTGTGGGTGGTGCGAAAGGATCTGGCTCAATGGTCGACCGACCCTTCTTGTCGATGATCCTGTCTGCTGCCGATCCGGAACCTGCTTCTTCGTCCTTAAGCGAATTGTCCGCGAAGGTGAAAATGGTCTTACCTTTCTACAGGTTTATCAACGGTTTGTTTGCCTGGGATGTAAGTCTCCAATTGTCTTCTAGGATTTCTGGATCTCCACCTTCGGATGCATATTTCCGTGGTACGCTCTCGGCTGATGTTGTCAGGATCTATTGGACATTCCTTGGCTCCATTTGGTGTGAACAGCGCCTTGCAAGGCGCGATGTGCACACGCATGAGCTGCTTGTTCTTCTTATGAAGGATCCAATGGTCCTGCCTTTGAGACCGAATGATTTTAGGAGTTGCTGGGTCCTCTCTCGTCTCGGATGATTTGGATGCGCAAACAGTTTCACTCTTGGAGATATCCCCGGAGGGAAACTGGATGCTGTTGTCATCATCGTAGACGTAGTTGGTGAGGCCCTTGATGGCAATTTCTCCATGTGCTTTCACTCTTGCAACTCCCGCGAGATCGACGAGTGCATGTCCTGCACCGGATACTGGAACTGCTTGACGGTCCATGCCAAAAGCCTTGCATGTGATCTTGTCACATTGAGGTGTGTGCTCGATGGTCATGTAGAGGTTCCGCATCTGACTGATGCTGAAGGGGATCGGTACAGTTCCTCGTTCAAGAATGTCGATGTTGGTACTGCATGGAGGAGTTGTGTGATATCGGAGATGCAAGGTCCAATTTACCTTGGCTGTTTCTCCGTTTGCAAAAGTGAACTTGGTCTCGGCCGGGATGTACTGATAGGAGATGAGGTGCTTCATGGGTTCGATGGCCTGAGTAAAACGCTGGGTTGCATGCCAGCTGCCCATGGATCTGGTAGGTCGGATTGTGCTGAGGGTTGATGACAGGCGCCATCAGCTTTGTTGCCAATAGGCTTTGGTTTGCTGTCGCTGTCATTGACTGTTCTGAAACTGTATCTAATTGGATCAGCTTCTCATGGATGGCTTCTTTCTCATGCTGCTCATATGCGTCATGGAATGCCATCATCACGTGTCCTGTGCTGGATGTCTCATGGAATGAGTACCAGCCTTGCGCACTCCAATTCCAGGATGGATCCCGATCTTGATCTGTCCAACCGGCATAGGTAGGCTCTGCGGATGGTGCAGTCTGCTGAATGGCGGGCTGCTCCTCCGTCTTCTCTGCGGTGGCTGCGAACGTCTTGGGTTTTCCTTTTTCTTGTCCGCCTTTTCCTTTACCATTGTCATAGGATGGATAACCTTTGTCTCCATCATAGAGATATTGGAAGTTTGATTTTCCATTCTTTCCATTCTTTCCCTTGCCTTTTCCCCAATATGCCAGGTCGTAGGGATCCTGATATTCGTTGGCCACATTGGCCTTCCTGCCAGAACCGCTTTTTCGAAAGGGTTTGAAGCCACCTCGTTGGTGGCTGCCCTTTTTGTTTCCTGATTGTCCTTTTCCTTTTCTCTTCTTGAATCTGAAATTCCGCCCTGACACTTTTCTTGCTATGAACGCATCGTTCTCCTCGAGGACCCAGAATGTCTCTTCATCGTTGTTTGACATGAATCCTTCAATTCCATCTTCATCTTCAACCCAAAAGCCTTCTTCTCCTTCGTACTCACCTTGTTCGAGGATGAAGAATGTGTTGCTTCGATTGCCTCCTTGAGGTCTGATGGATGGATCTTGGATGGATGTTCTGGTCGTGATGAAAAGTTCATGGTAATGCGTCTTCAGCATCTCATAGGAGTAGTTCTCGAGTGAAATGTTTCTCAGTGACATAGCACTGGTCAGTCTTTCTCTCTGCTGATCTGACAATTCACTCTGAATGATGAAAAACTGCGCAATGAGATTATCCCCGAAGGGAAATGCGTCCCGCTGTCTGTCCTGCATTCCCGTGATGTACTGTCTGAGGACTGTTGGATCATCCTCGTTTACAGGACTGGAGGCGGTGCTCGAGCACCGGCAGCTTGCTGATGTCGAGCCATTGTTCTGTTGTTCGCTTCCTGTACGGACCGTCGAAATGATGGGGACTGTGCCGTAAAGACGGGCATCAAGTCCATCCATGCTGCCTTCAGTCTCATTTTAAAAATGAGGAACTCTTGGTTCTGCCTCCTATGATTGAAGAAACTGAGGAGCCTGTACAGTTACACTTTGGTCGCACCTTTCAGAAAGTACTTCTTCAGCGTGTTCTTGAAATAGTTGACTCCTTCATCAGGATCTTGCAAAAGGTCATTTTGGAGGACTGCCTTGTACATGTAAGCATCTCCAGTGAGTCTGCTTTTGAGGAGAGGTTTTTTTTTGGTGCTTCCACCGTGGTGATTGTCACCCAGTCGTCTACGAGTTCTTCATACCTGAGCCAGCTGACTTTTCCGTCGTACGATGGCGGCTGCTTGGCGGTCATCGATAAGTTGAGTGTTTCCTCCGTATAACCGGATGGTTTGGCCATACTTGAATAGGCTTCCATGAAGCCTTCTCATCGGATGACATTTTTCCTTGGATCTCTGCGGAAAACCTGCTCCGCTACCACAAATTGAGGCCCACTGCCGGGGGTACCTTGTGGTAGTAGAGGTCGTTTATGTGGTCCCTGGATCTATTCCGGAGAGAGTCCAAGATGCCAATATGGATGATTGGAGGATGGATTGTCCCTGGTGGCTTGGATTGACTATTATACCTGTAAAGCGGTCTGCAAGCCTTTTATCAATGACTGTACAATTGAAATAGAAGGGCCTTGAGCCAAATGTTGCAGGAGATCAAGTGTTCAACAAACCAAACACAGGGGAGGAGAAGATCTCAGGGGGGAAAAAGCAGGCCTGTAATGTCGGCGGCCTGAGCCGGAGGCGTTAAAATTGCTATTTAGAAGACTGTCCTTATTCCTACGGCCAAGTCAGGCAGAAATGCTTTGGCAGTGCAGTCAGGTCACACGAACCTGCAGCTCGTCCTGCCCATGTGCATTGCGGCAATATCGTCCGAACTCGCAAAAGTTCGGAAACTTCTCACAAAGCTTCATCTTGGGCTTCTCCTGGCAGTCCAGCGCATGGGTGCGGCAGCGCTGTTGCTTCCACCCACCCCAAACATTCCCACTGACCATTGGGTGAGAACTCTTGCAGCAGCCTGCTGACGTCACTCAAAGCACCCGTCCTGCCATCCAGGTGGCTGGCGTTGCTCCTCCGTCGAAATAATGCTTGCACAGCAGTGTCTTCCTTCGAGCTCCTTCCTGCAATGTCTGATGGATGCATCCCAACTACTCCAAACACCCGTCTCAGTAAGCCAGTGTCAAACACCTCCAGCTAAAATGGTTCCGTGTTCCACGGGTATTCTCCAATCAGACTCCAATCGGATAATGCTCGCTCCATGTCTTGCGGAGTTGGCGTAAGACCAACCAATGTTTTAACAACTCTCTTGAATCAAGAACATTGGGCCCAGCAGCTTATGCAGCTGGTACACACACATGCACAACCTTCTTGCTCAGCCCCCGATGTCTCTCCCGGTGTCTCATGTGATCCTTGACCTTATTGGCTCCACACCGACACGAACTGACAGTGGGAAGACACACCACGCCGGCCTGCAGCTCTTCCTCTGCGTGCGCGAAGACACAGTACCGACCGAACTGGCAAAAGCGCCTCTCGCGGAGATGTGAGCAAAACCTTGACTTCGGCTTCTCCTGACAGAATTGCTGAAGGGCCGCTCAACTGGATGTAGGGTTTTGGGATTCGGTCAGTCAGCTCTGGGACTCCTTTCATGCCAGCGTATCAGGTCTGTGCGGAAACAGGCGCACGGAGACTTGACGGAAAATGAAAGGCTTGGCGATTAACACACAGTGTCTGCGACAGATCCAGCCTCCCAGTCGATCGGCCGCTCTGTTCGTGCTCGCCATGGGCAAACTTGCAATCATCGCCATGTTTGCACGTTCCCATGGCTGCAAATCGGCATATCAAAGTCTTTTGTCTCTCCCCAGCCTGCACAAAAAAGGCTGGTTGTCATAAGCACCCCAGCATCACACTGGAAAAGGATTCTGAAGTGGGGGCCAGGAAAAATCCCAGATGCCCTGAGCCCTCCCTTGCACACTTGGCGCTTCTCGTCACTTTTCACACCCTGCTCGACTGGCGAACGCGATTCCCTGAAAAAAGGGCCTCGGACTGCGGATAGTCAACCTGCTCCGCTTCAGGCTGCGCAGTTAGGCGCGACCCCGGTGCCTCATCAAATCCGGTTGCGATTTTCTAACCAATTCACGCATGGCAAAAACAGCTTTGCGGCATTGCGTCTAAAAACCGCTCCGGGCAAAGGACATGGGGCCTAACCTGACAAAGAAACGCGCAAACACACAAGTACGGCTAAGTCCCAAGAAACGCTTTGGCAGCGCAGTCAGGTCACACGAACCTGCAGCTCGTCCTGCCCATGTGCATTGCGGCAATATCGTCCGAACTCGCAAAAGTTCGGAAACTTCTCACAAAGCTTCATCTTGGGCTTCTCCTGGCAGTCCAGCGCATGGGCGTGGCAGCGCTGCTGCTTCCACCCACCCCAAACATTCCCAATGACCATTGGGTGAGAACTCTTGCAGCAGCCTGCTGACGTCACTCAAAGCACCCGTCCTGCCATGTGGCTGGCGTTGCTCCTCCGTCGAAATAATGCTTGCACAGCAGTGTCTTCCTTCGAGCTCCTTCCTGCAATGTCTGATGGATGCATCCCAACTACTCCAAACACCCGTCTCAGTAAGCCAATGTCAAACACCTCCAGCTAACATGGTTTCGTGTTCCACGGGTATTCTCCAACCGGACTCCAATCGGACAATGCTCCTCAGACAGCTTGTCTATCTCGCCATGAGATGCCTGAGCAAGAGCTTCAGGGTAAGCATTGCGTTGATACACATGAAAAAACATGATAAGACCAAGACATCACAGTTTCATCTACGCCACGCACATGCTTAAGTCCTGGAACGACCGAACTCGTTCGGGTTCCTTTTGCTAGCTGTGGCTCAGCACCGCAGCAAAACACGAGAAGCCGTTGGCAGTCGCCACGGCTGCCACAGTGGGCAGCACGCATCAGGTCATGTCTCGAAAACTCCCCCTGCGTTGGGGGCCTGAGACTTGCCAAGTGCCTGGGAACTGCCTGCGCTTTACATTTGCTGTACACTGTACACAAAGACCCTGTGGCACATCGCCACAGTCCAGTCTCGCGGCAAATCCGCCACTCGGGTGAAAACCAAACACCATGGCCTGGAAGCTGAGCATCAACACATTCTCATCACCTAAGAAACAAGTTGAGTCGTTGAGTCTGAATGTTTCTTGGGATCATGACTCTCCATTCCACCCATGCTTAAGCTCAGCTTCCAGGGCTAGGCACAGCTATCAGATTTGAGCTGCATCTCAGAGCTGCCGGATGTTGGAGACCTGACCGCAATTGTAGACCACGTGCTCCGGGCCGGTTCGACACCCCAGGATTTTCACCGAGTCATAGCCCTCGTCTTGCAAGCGGCTGCAACAGGTGCTCATAGTGCCATGAACCTCCTTGCTCCGGCCCACGCGCACGTCGGCCTTGAGCATGACCCCGTGGCGATGGGCCTTCTGCCGTGCTTCGGATGGGCTCTCAGCAAAGTAGATGCCACCGCCTGCCATGCCACTCTCGCCACGCAACATCTGCTGCGACCTCAAGATGCGCTCGGCTGCCTGTGAGTCTGTCTCATGGTACAGCTCCAACGTCCGATCGCGTCCCACGCTCACGATGGTCTGGGGGCCCAAGGCTGAGCCCAATGAGGCTCCCAGTGGGTGGAGCGCTGGGTGGAGTGCTGGGTGGAGCGCTGCGTGGAGTGCTAGGCCGGGGCCAATGACACCCACCGGAACCTCGAGGACCAAAGGCACGTCGTCCCACGGATCCTCAATCAGCACTGGGATGCCACCCGAGCCTGGACCAAAGCCCATAGGTCCCATGCCAATGTAGCCGAACATCGCGCACGTCCGCCAGAGACCAGCAACTCTTGAGCAAAACTGCCACCATTGCGTTAGATGCAACAAGGTGCCTTCGGTGCCTTCATTCACCAAAAAACAAGCAGCCTACTGGATTGAACAACTGTCCGCCCGGACAAATTGAGCATTGGGCTTCCCGCCAAGAGTGCCACGGTCAGACAGGAGCACGCTCCGCGTACTACGTTTGTACTTAAACGCGGACCAGGGGGGAATCGAACCCGCGACCGCGGGATTGCGAAAGCAGGCGCGCAAACCACGAGACAACTTCCAAAGGCCGTTTCGCGAGCAAGAAAATTGCACAGCGAGAGCGCTTCGACACACACAATCTCCGCAGAGGGTTCGCCGAGACTAAGACAAATTCGCACGGCGCCACAGCGAGAGCGCTTCAACGCGCACGATCTCCGCAAAGGGTCGCGCGCGGACCGCAGAAATCGTTAAAAGTCCTCAGTTATTGAACCTCGACCACGCGAATCTCCGCAGAGGGTCGCGCGCGGACCGCAGAAATCGTAAAAAGTCCTCAGTTTTTGAATCTCCGCAGAGGGTCGCGCGCGCATGTTAAAAACCGTAAAAAGTCCACAGTTTTTTAACCTCGACCACGCGAATCTCCGCAGAGGGTCGCGCGCGCATGTTAAAATCGTTAAAAGTCCTCAGTTTTTTAACCTCGACCACGCGAATCTCCTCAGAGGGTCGCGTGCGCATGTTAAAAATCGTAAAAAGTCCTCAGTTTTTTGACCTCGACCACGCGAATCTCCGCAGAGGGTCGCAATCCCGAGCGACGATCAAACTCCCGCCCCGGCGCCTTAGAAACCTAAACTAACTTACATAGCCGCTAACGCCGAAGCTCTACGCAAGCTCTACCTATCCTTGGCTCTGTGCCACCTGGCTCTGTGTCACTTGGCTCTGTGCCACTTGGCTTCTTGGTTATATGACATCCTTGGCTACTTTTATGTAACTTGGCTCTATGTAACTTGGCTTTATGTAACTTGGCTCTATGTAACTTGGCTCTATGTAACTTGGCTCTATGTAACTTGGCTCTATGTAACTTGGCTCTATGTAACTTGGCTCTATGTAACTTGGCTCTATGTAACTTGGCTCTATGTAACTTGGCTCTGTGCAACTTGGCTCTATGTAACTTGGCTCTGTGCAACTTGGCTCTATGTAACTTGGCTCTATGTAACTTGGCTCTATGTAACTTGGCTCTATGTAACTTGGCTCTATGTAACTTGGCTCTATGTAACTTGGCTCTATGTAACTTGGCTCTATGTAACTTGGCTCTATGTAACTTGGGTAACTTGGCTCTATGTAACTTGGCTCTATGTAACTTGGCTCTATGTAACTTGGCTCTATGTAACTTGGCTCCTTATGTAACTTGGCTCTATGTAACTTGGCTCTATGTAACTTGGCTCTATGTAACTTGGCTCTATGTAACTTGGCTCTATGTAACTTGGCTCTATGTAACTTGGCTCTGTGCAACTTGGCTCTGTGCAACTTGGCTCTGTGTAACTTGTCCAAGCGCTCCGCACGAAAGAACCCTTCGCGATGCTTTCGGGAAAAAGAGTGGTAGTAGTAGTAGTAGTGGTAGTGGTAGTGGTAGTAGTAGTAGTAGTGGTAGTGGTAGTGGTAGTAGTGATAGTGGTAGTGGTAGTGGCAGTGGCAGTGGCAGTGGCAGTGGTAGTGGTAGTAGTAGTAGTAGTAGTGGTAGTGGTAGTTGTTAGCAAGTCGTTTTAATTAGTAGGGGCTAGTAGTTAGTAGTTAGTAGGTAGTAGGTAGTAGTAGTAGTAGTAGTAGCAGTGGTAGGGGTAGTGGCAGTGGTAGTAGTAGTGGTATTGGTAGTGGCAGTGGTAGTGGTAGTGGTAGTAGTGGTAGTAGTAGTACTAGCAGCAGTAGTAGTTGTTGGGGTTAGTAGTTCGTAGTTAGTAGTTTGTAGTTAGTAGGTAGTAGTAGTAGTAGCAGTAGTAGTAGTAGTGGTGGTGGTAGTAGTGATAGTGGTAGTAGTAGTAGAAGTAGTAGTAGTAGTAGTGATAGTGGTCGTGGCAGTGGTAGTGGTAGTGGTAATGGTAGTGGTAGTGGTAGTAGTAGTAGTAGTGGTAGTAATAGTAGTAGTAGTAGTAGTGGTGGTGGTGATGGTGGTAGTGGTAGTGGTAGTGATAGTGGTAGTGAACCAACCTTGGCGTCTCCATGTCTTTGTGTCTTCGCCCAAGCTCTGCTGAAGCCCTGAATCCCTGAAGCCCTGAAGATGCGTGTCTTCGCGTCTTTGTGTCTTCGCGGAAGCTCTGCTGACTCCCTGAAGCCCTGAAGCCCTGCAGATGCGCGTCTTCGTGTCTTCGCGTCTTCGTGTCTTCGCCCCAGCTCTGCTCACTCCCTGAAGCCCTGAAGCCCTGAAGATGTGTGTCTTCGTGTCTTCACGTCTTCGTGTCTTCGCCCAAGCTCTGCTGACTCCCTGAAGCCCTGAAGCCCTGAAGCCCTGAAGCCCTGAAGCGGCCTCTGAAGCCTTGAAGCCCTGAAGCCCTGAAGACTTGAAGATTTGCGTCTTCGCGTCTTCACCTGACATCCGAAAGCGTGCAAGCACTCAAGCCTTGAAGCCTTGACGCCTTGAAGCCCTGAAGACCTGAAGATGCGTGTCTTCGTGTCTTCGCGTCTTCGTGTCTTCGCCTGACGCCCTGAACATGCGTGTCTTCGTGTCTTCGTGCCTTCGCCTGACGCCCTGAAGATGAGTGTCTTCGTGTCTTCGTGTCTTCGGGCACATTTTCGGTGTAACCCTCTGCGCCTTCAATGAAAAAACAGAACTTCTCTTGGCGTAAATTAAATCCTCAGAACTGCATTGGGGAAAAGGTAAGACGAATAGCAAAAAAATTAAAATTGCAATGGTAAAGAGAGAGAATTCATGAGGATGAAAGTAATAAATTCTTAGTACCAACATTTGTTTCTCCATTGAAGATTATTCCAGAGAAGCTAACAGTTGTAGCTGCTCCTACAGAAAGCACAAAATGTAAATGTGCTACAACATATGTATCATGTAGTCCTAGATCCACTGCAGCATGACCTAGAACTATTCCTGCTGACCCACCTATAGTAACATTAATAAACAGAGAAGAAAAACAGAAGTAATTCTAAGGTGTAAAAAGTATGCAAAAAGTTAATTAATTATTGTTGTACCAGTTGGTAAACATATTGAGATTGTAACTGCTGTAAAACAAGCTCTTGCATCACTTTCAAAACCTACAGTATACATATGATGTCCCCAAACAAGACATCCAAGAACGGCAATAGATGCCATCGCAAAGATCACTGGTTGCTTAGCAAAGATTAATCACTGTGAAATCCCAGAAAATATTATGGACATGATCCCAAATGCAGGCGCGATTAAGATGTAAACTTCTGGATGTCAAAAAAATCCAAAACAAATATTGGATCCAAGAAACGTGTATTTGTTTTAGAGATTCATGAAGATAATTACTAATAATATGTTTTTAAGGTTTCTAGTATTATTTGCATCTTTTTTGCACATTGTTTAATTTGTTGTCTTCTCCACAAAAAGCTCAATAAATGCAAGATTCCCAAAACTCCCAAAATCTGAGCAACTATGTCGGGGATTGACATTCCCAAGAAACCTCGATAATTTGTGGTTTTTTGGAATTACCCAAAATTCAAAAAACTCGAGGTTTTCTGAGAATGGTGTATTTGCTGCGGGTTTTTTGGAACTTCCATCCCAGACATAGTTGCGGAGACTTTTTAGGAATTTTGGGAATTTTGGGAATTCTCGAGGTTTTTTTGGAATCTTGCATTTACTGGTGTTTTGTTTATTGTTTGGAAATTCCAAAAAAACGAGGTTTTTTGGGAATGTTGTATTTACTGCGGGTTTTTTTGGGAACTTCCATCCCAGACATAGTTGCTGAGACTTTGTGAATTTTGTGAATTTTGTGAATTCTCGAGGTTTTTGGGAATCTTGCACTTACTGAGGGTTTTTCGGATTTTTTGGAAGTTCAAAAAAATCGGCTTTTTGTGAATTGTGTATTTACTGCGTTGTTTGTTTGAACTTCCATCCCAGACATAGTTGATGAGACTTTTGAGAACTTTTGGAATTTTGGGAATTCGAGGTTTTTTTGGAATGTTGCATTTACTGATGTTTGTTTGGGAACGGTAAGAAATTCCAAACATATTGATGTTTTTTTTGGAATTTCACATGTCCCAAAACAGACACATATGAAATGCATATTTTTCCCATTTTTCAAGGACGTGGAAAAACTCAGCGCTCACAGCGCTGCTTTCAGCTTGTGAACTGCCCTGCCGGGCTCCCTAAGAATGGATAGCCGTTCTTTACCTCTTTGTCAAGGGATAGTCAGGGTTCCTGCATCGTCAGAAGCAACCCAGTCACAAGTGTGGAGAAAAAACAACCAAAGTCGCAAGAGAGAGGTTTTCGGTCTGGCAGGCCCCCGCACCCCCGGGTTTTTGCCCCGGCCTGGAAGACCTGTAGCGGGAAGGCTTTGGGATCAGGCGTGTCGGTGAGTTCAAAGCGCTGGCCTTCAAGGACAACACCGTAACAGCGGCCGTTCGCATCCTGGAGGCTGAGGGCAGCCAAAGGCAAATCAGGAAAAATGCGACTCTGTGCGGTAGTGGTCGGAGTAAAGAAGGGTGTAAGTTTTGTATGGCCTGCGTTGTCTCACAACTGCCTGCAACAGTGGATCGCGGCCCCTATGTTGTTTTTACAGCACTCTGTTGGATATTAGTTTTTGAGCCAAAGCATCCATATGCATCTGTCGGCTGTTCACACAACAACAATCCCACAAAGGTTTCGAGGGACCGTAAACAAGGGGAAGAGAACAGGGTGACTTTCAGAACCTGCCCTTGAGATTTTGGCCTGTGGCCCGGAGATTCTTAGCAGGCTCGGGTTCATCCCGGGTCAGGAACCAAACGCAACCACATGCCGACATGCATGGACGCGCGGCTTTTCCTATCCAATTCTGTGAAACGTCTCTGCAAGAGTTTGACCGGGTTCTGTGTACCTAACAAAAATGGGAATGCT